GGGAGACCCGGAACAGATTCTGGCTCAGGCTCCCCCCTCTCGCCTCAACAGGGGGAGGAAGATGACGAGAAGACGACGACAGGGAAGAGGAGGGAGGAGGGAGGAGAGAGGAGGAGGGAAGAGGGAGGAGGGAGGAGCGAGGGGGGAGGGAGGGAGGGAGGGAGGGAGGGAGGGAGGGAGGCGGGAGGAGGGAGGGAGGGAGGGAGGGAGGAGGAGGAGGAGGAGGAGGAGGAGGAGGAGGAGGAGGAGGGAGGAGGGAGGGAGGAGGGATCCTGGAGAGAGGGCAAGGAGATCCTGCATGGCTTCGCGCGTGCTCCACTCCCACGCACACACACACAAACACAACTCAATCAACAACTGGTTTCCATACGGGCCCCCGGGAGTCTCGACCCTTGCCCTGGGGCGAGCGCCTCTCGTCTCGAGCCCTCTTCTGGTGCGAGGGCCCCCGGGCCCCGGCGAGGCACCGCAAGAGGCCGAAGGCTGCGGGCAAACATCCGCCCTGCCTCGAGTAGGGGATCGACTACATCATTGATCTACCAAAAAAGTCCATGTTCCCATCGGATATACGCAACATACGCAGAATATTCCGTAGATGTGCAGAACATTATGTCCATGCTTTGTATATTCGACGACAAAATCAAGTTTGGGGTAAATCAATTATGCAGTCGATCCCCTACTCGACGAATCGCAAATCGCAACAATGAGTCAAGACGAGCAGAACACGCAAGCATGCACACAGTTCGGATCAGACCAGAAAGAGAGAGAAGAGAGACTAGGGGAAGGACAGAGCAGGAGAAGTGCAACCCCCACCCTCCATGCACGTCCCAAGAAGCTGGCACTCCAGCTTGGTGGCTGCAGGGCGCTGGGGGTCCCGAAACGGCACGGTGACAGACAACGCGGTGAGCTCGGAGTCCCCAGAGGCCTCTCCGAACCGTCCGCCACCGCGTCGCTCTGGAGGCCTCGGAGGCCCCTGTCGCCCGAGACATCCTCGGAGAACGACCCGCGTCCCGAAACCGTGCGGTCACACCATGCGGTCGGGAACGTGTTGCTGCGCGTGTTTCGCGGCGGCGGGCCCGGCGACACGCAGTGCTCTGCAGGCAGGCAGCGTGGCGCTCTCGGCTCCGCGGGGCGGGAGGCTGGAAAAGCAGCTCGGGACGTTGACGCCCGGGGCCTGGGCAAGGGGCAACGTGCCGCATGGGCACGTGTTGGGCCGGAACCGGCGGAGCGACACGTTGCTCTGAGATCCGACGTGGCGCAAACATACAGCATCGCCCCCCCCCCCCCACCAAAAAAAAAAAAAAAAACTCGCCCTGAGCCCCAGGCTCCATCTTTCTGCGCCGTCTTTCGGGCCGGATCGATTTGTGAGGGCCCCAGAGCCCGAAATCT